TTATAAAAGATATATAATAAAAATTTTTATATTCAAATAAATCCTAATATCTAATAACTTAATTAAATAAGACAGAAATAAAATTTTATTTTGAAAAAATAATCTATTAATATTTATTTGATGCACTAATCTGTTTGTATCATAACATATTTTCTTTTAATAAAATCTAGTAAATTATATAATTATTTATTGTACTAGTAATTTTTAAAAATACTTCTTTTTTTGAATTAATTTTCTTTTTGATTTATATAAAAAGCTAAAAATATAAAACTTGAGATTAATATTACAAATCTATATAATTATAATATTTATTTATTAAATAAATTTAAATAATATTTCTTTATTTATTCAGACTCTTTTTATATTGTATTTCTAATATAATTATAAATAGATCTTTAAAGTAAGAAAAAGAGAAGAACTTAGTATTAATCAAGACAGATATATTTTTTAAAATTGAAATTATAATAACTAAGAATTTGTGTATTTCAAATTATAGTTCTAAGAAAAAACTTTTGCAAGATCAAGATATCCAGCATCTGGATTATTCACAAGAAAAAATACTTTTTCTGAAATAATCTGGATAAAGATTAGTAAAATAATAAAATACTATAATATTTCAAGGCAATATAAATATTATCATATTTATAGTATCTGAATAATATCACAGAATGTCTCAAATACTTGATAATTAACTTTTTATTCAGAACCTAATTGCTATTCTATATCAGCTATGCTGTTCTCTTTTCGAACAATTTGCTATAGAGTAGTAATAATAATATAGCAGTTTTTATTTATATCTTCTTCATCATCTTGTTTAGTTGAAGCCATTTCAGAACTAGAATTCTGCAAAGAAATAACAACTAAAATACCAATATTGGAAATAGTGATTGAATTCATTGAAATAATTATTATATATTCTTTCGCAATCTCCTTCTATATTTGCATGATGCTGGCATCTTTAATTCTCCTGAGATGGTTGGACAAATCAAGTATACTCATGATTCTTGGATCTATTATTTCGCTAAGTCTCGAGTAAAGCTTTGACATAGCCTCAAGGTGAAGAAGTTCAGTTAGTATTTTTTCTTAAAATTAGCCAGTTTCTTCTGTAAGAGATTCTGCCCTACTTTTTTCTCGTAGTCGTTTCAGAGACGCTCTTTCCTATAAAGTGAAAGTAAAGCTATTCAAAAATAAATAAATAATAATAACAATAATAATGATAATAATTTACATTCACATTACTGATCGCAGCAAATCTCTTAATGTATCATCACTAATCAATGCGTAATTTGCAGGCACCTTCTGCTTAGGAGCTGCTTCTTGAGGTCTTTTGGCTGCAGCTGGAGAGATCGCTACAGAGTGGGTATCATTCCTCCACTGATAATATTAGTCTTGATGACTCAAGAGTGCGATTATATGATGCTCTGTTTGTGTCTGGAAAGATTTCGACTGGTTTTCTACGTGTAAAGAAAATGACAATCCTGATTGCGTAAAGATGAGTGATGATAACCAGTAGAAGTATTCCCTTCAGAATGACATTATTCTCATCGGGCATGCAAAGACGAAATCTGTGAAGGGCTTTGTTTTTGAGATATTGCGCAATTTGCTGTGTCAAGAT